TTCACCATAATTTTGGGTAATCCAGATTATGATAAAAAAATGGAAGACAAGATCGAAAACAGTGCGACTGATGTGAAGAAACTGCGTGCATCGGTGTTTCCAAAGTGAAAAAAGGCCTCGAAAAACCGTTAAAAAGGAGGCTGGACGAGAAAGAAACCAGAAAAATGAAGAAGAGTGGGGCGTTCGGACGAGCTAAACAGTGTGTTTCACTGCGCGCGTGTGGGTCCTAGTGCGAACAACAGCCAATGGTAAGCAAAAATTCATTCACTTATTAGCATGACTAAACAAAAAAAACCTAGTAACAGCAAAAGTAGCTCACCTTTTTCGGCCTCTAGGAGTAGGAAATTAAATAAGGGATCGCGGCAGCGAAAAGAAAAATAGAGGAAAAAAGAGTGGGAGAAAAACATCGCCTCATCACTCGGCGATTAGCTGAGTGGGTCCTAGAACGAATAATAGCAATCTGTATTGTCGCGACACTCGTCTAACGTGACACCGATCGAGGGGCGAGAAAGCGAACTACGACAGCAACGGGGGTTCCACTATGCCCTTAGCGCCGAGATTGTGGAAGCGAGAGGGTCCCTTCTACCACCCATGGGGGCGCTGAGTATTCCTAAAGGAAGAACTCAGTAACCTTTTTCATCGTGAACCGTGCCTTCAGCGAAACGTCTAGGTTGAAGTTCAGAACATGTTAATTACAAAAAATTTTCTATTTTTTGAAGTCTCAGTGCCAGGTTGGACTCACGTCTTTTTTTCCAACGCTTTGCTGAGCGACCATGTGGTGTATGTGGTTTGACTTGCGAGCTTGCGATCTCTCGGTTGATCTCAGCGTGGCCTTCGTAAGCATAAATTGACCCACAAGGGCCTTGAATGTAACACGAAATCTTTTTGCGTACCTTATATCCAAAGTTCAAAGTCCAAATCCTTTCTGAGGCTCAATTACACATTATGGATGCCAGTCGCGCGCGAAAGATGGCGCCCATGTGCGCAGGTCGAAATGCGCTTCGCTGTCAATGGGTTAAGGCTGAGGAGTCACTGCAGTAGAGACGAGGCTATGCGCTATCCATATTCATAAATGAGGATATCGCACCCATCTTACAAGAGAAGGGTCCAAACTTCTCCCGCAACTTTGAAGGGAGGCCTAGGTATACCGATAGGGTAGTCATCTGCGGCGGCGACACCATCCATCGTCGCCTCGAGTCTGACAAGGGAAGTATACTTGGTCGCAATGGCCATTCGAGATGAGATGTATACCGCCGCAGGTGGTTCCGAACGCTGTTCCCATATCTTTGTTCCAAATCTGCTAAACGATATTGAGAACAAAGTTACGGGCCAGCCCTCCCTGTGTTATACCACTGCAATGTGTGTGTGTATTGTATGTGTATGTGTATGTGTATGTGTATGTGTGTGTGTGTGTGTGTGTGTTGTGTGTGTGCAATGTGTTATACCACAGATCACTGAACCGAGCAAAGCCATTGTCTGTGCAGCGGTGGGCTAGCGGCTAGTGTGGTAGACTGGTAGACAAGACAGTGAGGATCTGCTCGTTTTGCTTTTCCATAAAATACCTTACCTAAGGCCTAAACGCATGCAAAACGTTTTTTGGGCTCAATATTAGCCATAAGGAGCGAACCCACTTTTTAGGAACACCAGGAGGTATTACAGGGAAAGTTTTTTTGCCCCTCACCGGCCTGTGGTGACTAGGCGGAAGGGTGGCGGTGATATGATCAGAGAGATTGTTATCTCTTTGTTAAACGAACGAACAGGAAAAACGGTCGTTCAGTGACAATTTATTTGAGACCAAACACAAAGAGGTTAAGGGTGGCGTACAAGACCAGAGTCCCTGCAGCGGGTATAATAAAGGAGAGAATGTCCTACTTAAGCCCCGCCCCGAAGAAGCGGTGGTGACCGCGGGTTCTGGCCTATGCCAGAACACTCCCGCCGGCCACGATTAATTAAAATTTACATACATAAGAAAGCAATAGAATTTTGAAGTATCAGCACGCTGCCCATTCAGTCGTCGTAGTCCTTTGAAGTTCTGTTTCTCGATTGGCGCACAGTATCACGTTGTGTGGTCTCCCACACGCCGCACACTGTACGCCGCAGTCGTCATCCTCGGTATGAGCTGGCTTGCGGCAACGACCAAAAAATGTTGTGGCTAGGCGGAAGGGTGGTGCCTTGATATGATCGGAGAGATGGTTGTCTTTCTGATAAACTAACGAACGAATAAATACGGTGGTTCAGTGATATATATTTATTGGTAACGAACACAAACACCCTAGTTGCGGGTTGGGTACAACAGAGAGTCTGTTGTTACGGGCATGACAGAGAAGAGAATCTCCTTCTTAAGCTCCGCCCCGAAGAAGCGGTGGTGACCGCGGGTTCTGGCCTGTGCCAGAACACGGTCTAATAAGGTTGGAGCTCACTCGAACGAAAGAGGAATTTAAACTTCGCGAAAGAAACCTCATACGTTTGTGGAAAGTGAGGTTCTGAAGTGAAACGTAGCCTTCAACATTGAACTGGCCTTAGGGCCAAGTGTGACAGGCCATGAGCATTCAAATTAGCCTACCTTTGACAAAGTGTGATCTCCTCTCTAGTCATCAGGTGCAAACAAGCGGACCGCATATTAGCGGATAAGTTGGAAAGATTTAGCATAAATTCGTGTGGAGTGTGTGTAGATAAGTGGGTAATAATACGTGCACACAAAGCGATAAACTATTGTTCTTCAGTATTTCTTAAACAATGCCAGTTCACCTGTACCACCGCTTCGAAAGCGCGGACAATATTAGTGGAATGTATGGACGGTACCCCTCCACAAGATGGCTGTGTCGGATGAGCCATTCGACCGCCGCCTATCCAAGGGTCAGGGGGCTGCCGAAGATTTCGAAACACCATCTTTACTGTTCGGGGTAGAGGGGCGTACATATTAGGTCAGTTGAGGTAAAAATTTTTTATTTGTTTACTATTCCCTGGAATCCTAAAATGTGAGTTCGCTCATTAGATGGCCAATATTGTGCCCAAAAACGTTTTGCAAGCGTTTAGGACAAATTATTATGGAAAACCAAAAGGAGCGCATGCATCAAGGAGTCGAACCTTGACGTCATGCCTACCAGTCCACCACGCTAGCCGCTGGGCCACCGTTGCACAGGTAAGGGGTTGGCTCCGCTCGGTCATCCGTTCATTGCAGTGGTATAACACAAGGAAGAGGAGGTGTGGTGCAGTTGGAACGAAATTGCCGCGTAGCGCGAGAGACGTCGCGTGCGAAGGAATGTAACAGAATGCAGCAGCAAGTAAGAAATACAGGAATAAAAGAACTAACAGTGGAATCATGCCGAAAGCAATAATCACATAGCGATTGAGCTGTATGAAGAACCCTACGACCTTTGCAATGAGGCAAATGGTCCGCGACAGCCGCTTGCGGGGGATCGATTACACAAAACCGTTCTTACTGCCCATCTCCCATCAAGCGAGACCACAGAAAACTGTGGTCTTCTGTCCACCTCGACCAACTACACGGCTTTGCTTTTGCTTTTCTTTTTTAAGCTTTTGCAACTTTTACTTATTATTCGAGATATTTATTTACTCACTTTATTTAATACGTTTACGCTCATCGCACTTTTTTAATACAGAACATTTCTGCACGTAATTTAAATGACTCTCCTTGATCTTCAACTATGGAACGCGCTAGAAAATTCACCTAGAAATTGATAAAGGATAAAAGGATAAAGTTTTTGGCGTTAATCAATCCCGTCTGGGGGATGCGCCCCCGCACTCGACTTCCATTCAGAATCGTAGTTTCGTAACGAGTGCGTATTTGGCCTATACAATGACTTTTGATGGCCAGCCGATGTACAAGTCAGTGCTTTTATCTTCCCAGACGAGTCTGGTACCAATTCACCGACCCCGGAGGGATGGAAGGCTTGGTTGGACTAGGCGGGCATCGATCCGGGATTCGAACCCCTGACCGTGCGTGTGGTATAGTGCGCCACTTGCCGCTACACCACCTGAGGCTGAACATGTTACAAGAGTGTGGATCAAAGTTTCGGCACTGCAGATCTGTATACACTCGCTGTTACAATATTAATTAGTCCCCATCAATCACTCTTTATATGAAGCGGTAACTTTGGGTGCCAGTTTGTATGCTCGTTTATGCGTCCTTTCGAAAGTCACGTAAGCACGATGAAGAGTGTCAATGTCACGTGAGCGCGATGAGGAAACAGTCATGAAATGGGAAGTCAACCCAATACTGTTTATATTGGTACTTCAACAAGTGGTAGGTAAACGGTAGTGGGCATGTGGTGCACGCGTTGCCGTGCGTAGCCCGGGTGCGCTTCGTTGCGCGCGTCCATCGAAACTAAGTCACGCCGCAAAAGCGACGTGCGACGCGTCGGCCCGCGGTCTTTGACAAAGTCGCAGTTGCAAATCATTCGCTCCACTGACACTTGGTTGTACTGTAATGTCATGTCGAGACCTCAGCTTGAGTGCGCCGCGCGCGAAGTGGGCGGGGTGACCTACTTTCGACGGACGCGCGCAACGGACGTTCTCCGCGTAGCCCAACTGGTCAAATCATAAGACATTAATTTCGCCATCATATATTTTTTGAAAAAAGTCAAAAACTACTTGCAGAAAAGTTCTATGTCAACTAAGTGCTGTCTACATAAACGATAGCCTGAATCAGACGTTAATATGATAAATATCAGAAGAAGTCGTACAAGCTCTCAGTGGAGAAAAGGCTCACTGGGCATGAACCTCGATAACGGCGGGAGCAAATCCACGTTCCCACATGGCAAGGGTTAACACTACCAATACGCCACGAAAGCGCTTGCTCTTTCCGAACAGCCGCGCACTTCAAGTGAAACAATCTCCTAACAAACCTTAGAGGCTCGCAACCACTTTGGGTACTCTATATTCTATCTCTATCCCTCTCTACTCTAGATCTATATCTTGGTCGCCATACAAAGTCCTTTGGGAATTCGAGACTTTTCCATGGTTAGTACGACGCTTTGATGAAGATAGCGGAGTATATTAGTAAAAGGTTCTTTCAGATCTACTATGCTTTCTTTTCATTCATCATGTCATTCTTACTGTCGAAAACTAGCATCAATGGTGTATTGAATCGCGGAGGAATGTTTCTATTTTCGCCTCATCAACTACAAGGATTCCTGAATATATCATCTGATTGGAACCCTGACGATAAGCAGGTTTTTTTTCTTTATTCTTGTCTGTGGGCTTCTGTTTCCTTTGTATCTGGTTGTAGAGAGCTAAGTTCAGACCTCGATATCCTGCTAGTTCGTTTACAAGGCTGTACAAGGTTTTGTTGCTTTAGATATTCAAGGCAAACTGAAAATTCTTCAGTGATGTGAAAGTACTCCTTAAGAAAAGGTCGTTATCGTAGATTGGAAGACGCACGAGTGGTTGCTTTCAGACTTCGACGTCCGTCCGTCCGTCTGGCGCGTTGCGGTTGCGTGCGTGCGACGGCGGCCCTAGCCACTTGTTAGCATGTGATCCAGTGACCCAGTTTTGTGTACAAGTGGGCTAGGGCCGCCGCCGCACACACGCAACCGCAACACGCCGAACGGACGCAGCGGACGGACGGACGGACGTCGAAGTCTGAAAGCAGCCAATGATGCTAAAACGAGGGTGACATGTGGGTGTACCGCCGAGATTTCTTACAAATAGCTTCCACGCACCGAAGGCTGTTAGCTGAATATACGTAAACTATTATCCATTTGCTAGGTCCGAGTGACTGGTCAGTTTCATTAATGGGCGCTTTTCAAGTTCAGCGACATGTTGATCGTCCGGGTCCGGGAACTTCTCCCCTAACACGGCGTCGCACACGCCGCCCCCGCCGCCTATCGCAGGATTGCGATGAAAGATTGGAGCGCGCAATTTGTGAAGTAGGGAGTCCTTTAATCATTTGAATTGGCTGGTCGCTCCCTTCAATTTCAATGCGGTATTGATCGTCGTTTATATAAGAGGAGTCATTTTAATTAATCAAGTCTAATAAACATGAAAACTAAAAAGAAACAGAAGAAAAAACGATAAAATCCAATGAAAAAGCAAGCCAGTCAAGGAAAAATATCGCGTCCTATCGATTTTCGGGAGGCGAGGTGAGTACGGTAATTGCAGTGACATTTGCCGCATGCCGCAAGGGAGAATGCCGCGATAGGGGAGAAGTTCCGTTACCCTGATCGTCCGACCGACGGCGTTGCCGGCCACGTGTAAACAACGCACGACAGCTTGCATGCGCGTGCCTGCCTAGGATTGAAAACAAACTGCTTAGGATTTGATCAAAGTTATTAACTCATCAAATATGATACGTACTTTCTCCTCTTCTTTGCGATTCTCTTATATTGGTTTTAAGTATTCTTCGCTTTCGTTGATTGTTTGCTTCCCTTTCGTTCCTCGCACGATATTTGATGACTTAATTGACATTTGTACTGGAAATTTCGAAGTCGAAATGGCTTAGCAGAAGTTGATTGTGATTCTTTCAATGTGAATCCTGTATTATACTTTCAGTTGCTCGACCTTGGTGCTGGTGATGGTGGAATAACGAAGAAACTTGCTATGTTCTATTCAAATGTCTACGTAACCGAAATGTCGCAGGCACGAGCTTCAGGTTTTTGGCTGTCTACCTTTGTTTAGTTGGTCGTGGAACATGTTGTACGGTCATAAGTTTGTTTAAAGTGATTAATTTATCCGACTATTTTTCCCTTTTCTTTTTTTCCCCGAAAAAAAATTAACCGAATCAACCATAGTATGGGACAGCTTATAAAACGAGAATCTCTCTTTACTCGTCTGATTTCTTCCACTCCCTGAAACGTCGCCCGCTTTCTTGCCTGTTGGACGCACTCTCTCACCATCCTAAACGCTGTCTTTTTTCTACTCGACGCTGCCCTCCTCGAAAACAGGTTGTTTATGTACAGGGTGTCCCAAAATTATTGGCGCCGATTTATAGCAATATATTTGAAACTTCTCAACTGCGAAAGACGATGGAATTCCTATGCACGCTAGCTAACACTATGTGCAACAACATGCTAAAATCGCATTTCAATATATCCCCCGTGAGCGCGAATAGAAGTCAAAGTTTGCTTTCGACTTGATCGCATGTGGCACGCAGGTATCCTTCTCCATTTCTTCCCAGCCCTCCTCCAGCTTTTGCATTCTAGGACTCCAAACTGTGACTGCAAACTCGCCAGGTCCTCTTCTAATCATGGACCATTCGTGGGATTCAAGTGAGTCAAGTTCTAGAAAATAGGATGACCATTCCTCTTTACCAATGAAGTCGGGCAGCTGTCGTCGGCACCACTCGCGGGCAAACTTGGCTCTGTGGGCTGGAGTAGCGTCCTGCTGGAAGGACTATGAGATGTTTCAGAAAACGTGGTCGGATCATTGTTTCATTATTTCCATCAGTACGCTATTTGAGTGCTGGTCTTGGTCAGTTTTCAAGCCTTCATCGAAGAAGCCACGAGCAGCCTACCCTTGCCAGTTATTTCCTCGAAGGACAACGTTTCCCTGTTCTTATAGCGACCTTTTTGTGTGATATTACACGCTAAATGTTTCTATCCTGAACGAGAACGGTATGGTTGTTGAGGGATGGTTAAAAATTTTTTGGCCAGAGAAAACGGCGAAGGGTTGCGTGTCATCACTCAAGTGGGTCTGCGACTTTCTGCATTTTTTGGCTCTGCATTGTCCGTTGAGACCGGAATTGAAGCGAAACTTCTGCATACGATAAATGGCAGTGAAGCTTCTGCACGATATTTTTTCATCGCGATAACTCCTACAAGCCGTGCCCGTTGACTTCCTTTTGATAGGTCACCCAGAATCCCGACCGATTGGCAGACGAACCATTTTAATAGTCCACTCTTCAGGAACATTCTCCCTTTCTACCTTTCCTGGTTTGTCTCTGATTCAATCTCCTTTTTTATATGGTTTACTGGCCTCCTACACGGTTATTATAAAAATCCCAAGGAATTTAATGATGCTCTTCCACCTCTCGCGTGTCAATGATTGCAAGTGGCATTGAATGAACCTCCTCCATCTGAAATATATTGGGAGTTCAGTAACCATGCATATTGCAAGGAAACCTTCTAATGCAACTGATTAATAACAGGNNATGTGAATTTGATGAATTTTTTTACCTTAGAAATTTCTGGACTTTGGCGCCAATAATTTTGGGACACCTTGTAGCTGGACTGCGGTTAGGCAGACAGGGTTCAGGAGAAACTTGCATCGATTTCATTCGGATTCGAAAGTGACTGTGTCAGGAGTGATCACTTAAGGTTATGCAATGGCGTCTCCGTAATGAAGGCTTCCATATTGAAAATGTGGAGGAGTGGAGTTCGTCCTCACGCCGATACGATCTGATATCGGCTCTCAACCTTCTCGACAGGTCTCTGTGTATTCCATATTATTGTGATACATTCCTTCTTACCATTCTTACTATTTTCCTCACAAAAAAAGATATTCAGACACTACAACCCACGAAAATTGCTACGTGATCTCCATTCGCTGGCCCTTCGATCGAACTGTTTAGTTTTAATAGCAGTAGTTCTGCCCATACACCAATATGTTGAGTTTCATCCTTCACGCAGAACTACGGAAGCCGGTGAGATGGTTCAATGCTCTCTTTTCTTTGAATGCAACATTTCTATTTAGTGGTTATATTGTGTAAGAGATTACAATAAGAATTCTTAATTTTTTAGACGAGAGACTGGCTGTTGAGGGACGTACCATCGAAGAGCAAGCCTCATTCTTAGTTGATAGGGAGTTTTTGCCCGCAGGTTTTGAGCTTGTACGATGGACAAAACTTCCATATCTTTGTGAAGGAGACTATTACAAGGTGCGCTTGGTTTCTGATGTTGGTACATAATGTTACTGTTGCTTGGGATGGGGCCTAAGGCTTAACCTAAATTTCGAGACAGCGAAGCTTTAGTTGCTGGTTTGGATATCCGATATAAAGCACCTGAAGTTCAGCAACATTAGTTAGTTCCTGTTGAAAGACTGTAAATATGGCTGTTGTTATGAGCTTATAGCTCCGATTTTAGCCTTTTTACGTCTTAAATGACGTCGTCTTCTTGGTGCGACCCATCCCTGGTGAAGGTGTGCGAGAATACCGAAGCTCTGGTGATTCTACACATTCGCATAATGAGTTGTAGGTCGTTTTCCCGATTTTCCATTGCTAGTTTCTTCTTTAACGTGTTTGCCTCAATTTGGACCAGTAGTATTGTGATGATGTGATCGTTGGAATACTGGCTCTCACTCTTCACTTAATGTCGTGGATCGTTTGTTTTGAAATAAACTCAACTTCGTGTTTGTACTGTATCACTGCGTCAGCGTTGGCAAGAGCGCATGTTAATCCCGTTGGGACTGTGTTCTAAGACATTGCGTCTGTCCTTATTCGAGCTTGTGGGGCAACTAAATGGTATAGGCGCTCTGTGCAGCATTCGGTTTTTGTGCCCGAAAAGTCGGTGTCGCCTGAGCTTCATTGTGAACATTCGTAGTGAGTGTGCAGTGTTGCCGGGTGCCGGGAAAATGATGGGCCGTTTAAGTTGACCAAACCTTTATGTTATATTGTGTGCCGAAGAACACGAATTGGACGCAAAACATCGGTTTTCTGAGCAATTACGACGGATGACGCTTCGAAAAATCGACGTGATGCTCATATTTGTAGCCGTTTGCCTTTCGTCGTCGCGTTGTGCATGTTGCTTTTGTGATTGAATTGCGGCCAGTACCTTGGAGAAAAAACTTTGAGGCATTGTGATATTCCGAAGATAGGTTTTTTGAGATACTTTATCGAACTTATTTTTTCGAAGTCCTTAAGTTTTATGTTTGCTGGTATTTTTTCAGCATTTTAAGCCTTCCTCAAAATTACAGTAGTTGCCCGAATTCAATTCTGTTACAGGGTGAAAACGAACCAACAATGTCAGGAAAAAAGTGGTTGGCCGGAACTTGGAAAAATGAGATACTGATCCTTTCTTCGAGCAATGATGTGTTATCATACAATCAGTATTAGGAGGTCACGCAACTCCTTTTTCGCGTTTCTTGCTTAACGCGATGTAATTCCCGTTTTCTGGTTTTCCTTTAGAGAGATCCCAACAAACATCTATGAAAAACCCTCTTATCGAAAGATGGAGTTTTCTTGCTCATCTCGTGGAGTTTAGTGCGTGAAAAAATGTGGTAAGAAATGGGATAGACAAGCTCTTCTGTGTTTGTCCAGGCGGATCTTCAGGGACTTTGCTTTACTCCCGCGTCCGTTTTCTTTCACAGCATATGCACTGAATCAAAAAACGGTGTCTTGAAGCTCCCATTTCTTCTTGAGAATCGAGAAGACGGCTCGAAGCCATTCTCCTTAATTTGAGACGATATCAGGAGGAAGTGTAGGGAAGCGAGTCGAATGAGAAGTAGGGAGTTCTGCACGACAGGGTTGGAAAGCCTTTATATTCGTTCATAATTTTCAACGAAATAATCCATTATAGTCAGAGGGAACCAAGTTCCCTGAAAGCAATGTTCCGCTCATCCAGAATTCTAAAATTATTCATTTATTTATCAAATACACCTCAAGGGTGTGGCCATTAATCACACAGAAAAAAAAAGAAATTGGAAACTATGAGCTAGTTCGGCCTATAAGTAAAGAAAAAGAGAAGTGCATCTGAAAAAGGAAAACAAGTTAAAGGATTTAAAACTAGACAACGATGAGAAAAGCAGATAGATTAGCATGTCGAGATATCATTAGAAAAGGAGAGGAGCTAGGGCATTTTATTGTGAAGACGATAAGGTTGTTTTCCCCTGTCAAGCAGATGAGCGGTCCCCTCGCAAGATTCCGTCCTTCGTCAGGACGCAAAACGACAGAAGAACAGAGACTTACTAACAACTTAGTCCGTTACGAACGATTTCGTACGGAATCCCGGGCGAGCAGAGCAAGGGCATCCCAAACGAGAGGGTTCATCAAACCGAAGTATCCTGAAACAACTAGAACCCACAACTAAAGCCACAGCACGACGAAACAAAATAGTCTCTCCGCATCGCTACATACCTGCTTCGAGAAACAAAAATTGAAGGAGATAGCATGCAGAAAGGGTACGGGGATGTGGTACTAGTCAGCACATAATCGCTCAAGCAAGTATGAAACTCAAGATAATTTGGCATATACAGTAAAAGTAACACAAAGTGGACAATGAAGCCGAGGAAGGTTCTTGAGTGAGGAGAAAAGGGGATGAATAGATTGCCTAGTTTGGCCTATTAGCACCTCAGGCGGAAGTATTCGAGCCATCTTGCGCAATGTTAGAAAAAATTGTTGAACATCATAGAGTACTGTCCGGGATCGACTTTGGGCAGTGAAGGTTAAACCCAACCAACCTTTCACTTGTGGGTTTGGGAAAACAGCACTTCCTACACACACCTTCAGTTTTTTTCAAAGCACCCTAAAACAGAACACTAGGTTAGCCGCTACCCGTTTGTAATGCTAGGACTTGAGAGAAAAGCGTTTGAGCGCCGTTCGAGAGTTAACGGAGCCGGCTTACACAAAGTGTGGACAAAGAATACGCGTGAATACGTGATAGACTCGTCCTGCCTTGAGAAGGTCTCTTTTGTGAGGTGGGCTCTTAACCTGCGAGCAAAACTGTAGATTGGGAAAGACATGAGTTTTGTAAAAACGAAGTAGTATGATTTCTATGACAACTCCAGAGTTTTTTGTATGACTACCCTATTTGAATATTTATACGAAGCGTACAGATTAATGTCATCTGCGTGTACTTGTACGTGAATATCGCTACATATTTAGGTTATCTGGGGCAGCTCCATAGTGTAAATCAAGATAAGTAAAAGTAGTAGTACTTCGCCTGAGGCAAACCCGCTAGCACAGGTGTATAGTACCAACTCGCACTTTTATGCTCCTGCCATTAAGGTACAACTTTATCCAGTCCAGAGAATTACCCGAATTCCGTAGTGCTCCAGTTTGTTAATGAGTTTAGGATAACAGACATCATAGGAGGTATCAAGCGGGACGAGGTGGAACTTTTGAAATCAGGCTAGTAACTTGCTGAACCTAATTTTCTCCATAACTCTGGCAGGTGTGGTAGCAACGCTGATAAGCCTGAAATCAGTCACACGAGCAGCCCCAGGGTGCTCGGGAATGGTAGTAAAGAATGATTCTTCCAAAGGCAAGGAACCTGTTCTAGAAGGAAACATATATTGGTCAAGATGGGAAGTGGATAATATAGTGACCTACAGCGTTTTTTGAAAATGATCTGAGGTATACCATCGAATTTTTCAGCACCAAACGAACATCAGTACGGTGAAAGTTGATATCATGTGATTACAGCATTTCAAGCGATTTCCAACTTCACTATTATCAGTAGTCGGATTCAAGTAGACACGAAAGGAAATATCGACTCAGATATTCAGCCTCAGTAGAGTCACTATAAAGCATCGGCCCAGCCTGATATTTTGAAATAGGGAGTGATGGCTTGGGTTTGAGTTTGCTACGAAGGTTAAGGTGCAGTCGCCGCAAAGAAACAGTTCTCCCAAGATACCGCTGGTAACTGGCAGTAAACTTTCTCAAATGGTGGTCAACGTCATTACGTCTTTCTATTAAGTGGGGAATTCAGGGAAATCCACTTCTGAAAGAGGCATTCCTTCTGGAATAAAATGTTTTTATATGTGATGGATATCTTATGATTGTAGATTTCGGAAACTTCATTGGGAAGACAGACGTAGATGAGACTAAATGGAGAATGTTANTGCCATGCGTTGGTATACATATGGCTTCAGGAAGGCGTTGGAGGTTAGGTTAAGTGCATGATGAAGCTCTCAGTCACTTGAAAGTTCAAAGTCTCCTACAATTACGCTACTGGCGTGGGACAGGCAGAGCCAGGAGTAGTTCAACTAGTTCCTCATCCTCCCTTTTGAGCGAATTCAGCAGGGGAAGTGAAAAGATTGCTTTTATCAGTCAGCAGTTATGTTTTATCAAATCTGATTATCCTGCAATATACTTCTATTTTTCTCAACTATTATTTCGGATCTCTGTTGTAACAGTGGTACCTCTGATCCAGATGGTACTCTGAAGGGGGTATTTTTGGGGAAATTTCGCCCCTTCAATGAGAGGTGAAATCTGCGCGTCTCTCTCTTAATTTCGAATGTGAATGGCCTTCTTACGCAGCTCATGCAAGCAAGCCCATAATTCGCACTCAGTGATCATTTGCCCAATTATGATCGTATTTCATAAATACTTCATTATCAAAAAAAAGACGATATGGAAAGTAACCAATGGCAAACTGGAACCATTTCAATTGCGTGGAAGAGGGTTACGTCGATGCCTGCGTGTAGTTCTCTCATTTCGTCTTCATTCGAGATGCCACGGAGATGCTGAGAAGGTAACATAATTCTTCAGCAACATCGCTTGTACTTACAAAGCAAAAAAACTTACGGTGTTTTTAGTCGAGATGATGGTGTTTTGGGAGCTGAGTTACTTCGCCTACAACATTGCACTAATGAGCACTGATTCTAAGAAGTTTTCGGTGAATCTCATAGAATTTTTCTACTGTATCAAAGAAGTTTATGGCGGAACACGAGAAGGTTCGGTAGCAGTACAAATTGGTTGGGACCTTGCTACACCTTTGAGGGGATGCACAAAGGAAAAAATTCCACGAGGAAGTTGTTGTTAAACATGGATGTCAGAGGAAAGATTGTACATTGCAAACTAATATCACATTACAGGCCAGCTCCCAAAGGAGCTAAGCAGTGTTAGTCAGGAAATGAAAACTTCCATTGAACTAACTTTGATGGGGTTCTGTCATACCGCTCCGGCTGCCGTATTCCAGCCGATTGAGTTATGTTCCGGCCCGCTTGCATGGTGCGGGATGCGGAACGGCTTTCCATAGAGCTGCAACAAGTAACCGCATTCGTATTCAAGATTGATGGGATTTTTAGTATATTTTTAGATTTGCACGGTGTTGTACGAGAAACAAACATGTTCATTGTTGACACGACAACAGAGGAAGTTAGGTGGTTTGAGTAGAAAATAATGCGCGCTATGCAACACCTTCAATCAGTGCTCAGACCATCCTTACTTACTATATATAAACCGCAAATGTCCGTTTGTCTGTTTGTACGCTTGTACGTTTGTGCGTTTGTCTGTTAGTCTGTAACACTTTCTTATATGGTGCCGTTTGGAATTCAAATGGAACAGCTCAGACAGGTTGGAGCAAGTGGGGAATGAGCCGAACTTATTCGGTACACGTGACTTAAACTAGCTACGCCCACCAGGGGCGGCGTGTCTCACTAGGGGCGGAGCGCGAAAGCTGTAGTTCACCGAAATCTGTAACTCCTGTTCTCCTGGGCCTAGAGTATTCAAAATTGACAGAGATGCAGGCGGCAAGATGGGAAAGCTAATGGTAGGTGACAGGTGTAGACCCCGCCCACTGGGGGTGGGACTTCCACGAAGATAATAAATTTGGACCTGGAGCGTTCCAATTTGGTAGAGATGTAGGCGGCAAGATGGGAAAGCTAGTGGTAGGTGACAGTTGTAGTCTCCGCCCACTGGGGACGGGGCTTCCTCGAAAATAGCGTTCAAATTTGGTAGAAATGTAAATGGCAAGGTAAGAAAACCAATGGCAGGCGACTCTACTCACCGTTGACGGTGTTAGCGCGAAAATAGTAAATATGGACCTGCCTATCATGATTTCTCCATGAAGTTTCATCAAACAATACATTGGCCACGAGATCGTCGATAGGTAAACTATCAAAAAAATTAATGATTTCGAGGTCTTTTTTTTTGATTTTTTGGCTCAGTTAGTATATAGATAAACGTATGTAAGTAAATAATTGCCAACTGCAGTCTGCTA